AACTTTCAGATTTAATTGCTAGTAGATGGAAGAATAAATGGAGGTCAGGATATCAGAAATTAGGCAGGATTTCTGCAAGATTCAACATCTATAAGTATTCTAAATGATGCTGCTTCAAAAACCAGATTGTGTAAAAACTCTTGTGGCAGAAGAGCAAGAGCAATCCAACCAAAGAAATGACAAAATGTTATTGTATTTATAGAATAATTACAAATTTTAGTGACTTTTAGTTACTGGAATTTCTCTGAAAAAAAATAAGATAAATTGTCTACCATACATTGCTTTGTATTTTTTCCTCCCCTGTGGAGTAAATAGTTGATTAGGTGTTAGCAGTATATAAATAAACAATATAAAGCGAGCTCAAAAATTATTTAGAATTTGTAAATGACGGAATAGGAAATACAAATTTTAAGTATGTGACATTTAAGTATGCAGAATACAGAAAACTTTTTCTTCTTAAATAACACGTTTTACTTGTATCTTCAGCCTATACAGATGATCTTCTTTCTTCCTGTAACGTAACTAAAACTTCAGACACAAAAGTATGATAATTCTGAATTGTGTTTATCTTGAATTTATAAGTACAGAGCAGTCCTTAGCATGTTGGTTTTATTAATAAAATCTACAGTTTATCTTCTCTAGTACAAATGTTGTTCTGTGTAGTTCTGTAGTAACTACAAACAGTAGTTCATAAACAGTGCACCTTTCTAAAAAATAAAATCTTTAATTGCATAGTTTTTTCTTTTTATTACTTAATAGCTTGGAGCATTTTCTTTTTTTGGTCTCAAGACACAATGGATACAAAATATTTCATATAATTTTAAGTAATGGAGATGAGGTTGCAAAGATTGCACGTAGGTACATGGTTAGAGAATATTTTCTGTCTCTTAAAATGGATCTTCAGTAAGCAGTTTAGCATATGTTAATGATTTAGGCAGAAGTTTAATATTAAACTCAGTTTTCTCAGTAGTGCTCTGCTGGCCTTTAGAAATGTCTTGTTTTGGTTGGTGAACTTTGTGCAGGAGGTTAGTATTTGTTACTGAAGCGAGTAAGACCACCCCTCTCATGAGAACTGTTGTTTGTTAAAGTAATCTGGAGCAGGCTAGCTGAATTTATAATTCTACTGGAGAGGTTGTGAAACAGTCTAAATGGGCTCTGACCGCAAACTTTGACCTGTTTGGCCTAATTGTGGGAACTATGCCAAAATTTGATACAAAGCAGTTCTGGGAAGCTCTTTAAGTTTAAATTCCAGAACTGCATGACTGATGTGCTAATGATATGCTTGTGATATTAGGCAAGCGTTACTTCAATACAGTTATAGACTTGAGCAGATCATTCACCTAAACAGTGAAATGATCTCCATTCAGATTTGAATGATCATTTGTGTCTCAATATGATCTTAAAAGACCCAGTTAAAATGTTGTCTCCTTGTTCCTTTCTTTGCACAGCGCTGCATTAAACTAGCCTGACTCCTCAAAAATTTTTTGCCAAGCCTTTTCTTTGAGAGAGAAATAGTAGCAAAGAGAAAAGATCCTAAATACAGAATAGTTTTCTATGATTTCCTGAAACATCTCAGCCAACAACAGTTGAATCAGTGTGTATTCAGGTGAATTTTGAAATGGAAAGTCTGTTAAAGTATACATTTTTCTTCACTGGTTTAAGAATAATAAGAGATGTTTGGTGTGGAAATGCTCAGGTTTCAGTTGAGAATGACTTCTGCAGACTCCACTGCTGAGCACCATTAAGTGCAGTACACTTTATTCATTTATGTCAGGAAAACTTTATTCATTTAACACAGAAATTTTTAATTTTTAATTTTTAATTTTTTAAATTTATTATGGTTTTTTATGCTTTCTGATGCTTTGAAAGAATGCTTTTTTTTTTTTTTTTTTAAAGTTAAATATTTTCAAGCTTTGACACAGCTTGGCTGAACTTAGTATTGCCAACACGATGAGACACGCTGCCGGCAGTGCTCATCTCTTGTACTCTGGCCAGATAACAGAATATTTTGTAAGACAATAGTGTTGGTACAGGTAGTGTTGTCATGCTTGCCCTGTGACAGAGTTTAAATCCTCTGCTGTAGTAACTACTTGTAAATAGAAAGAGAAATCCCTGTTTCCAGGATTCCTGCTGAAGGTACTCAAGGGTGCCAACATTGGCTACTGCATGATCTTCCGTTTTTGTAATCTGAATTCAGTAGAATATGGGAGATGGGACTTCAAAGCAGCTAACTCTCAATCAAAGCAGCTAACTCTCAAGTGAGGAAATAACAGAAGTTCTCTCTGAGAACAGAATTGACTGCCTGGAAGGAAGAGAATATCAGTAGGTTCCAGATACCAAATAGAAACCCTAAAGAATGGAGCGTTTGAAGGTAGAAAAAGGCCTTTTTCACCCCCTTCTAGAGCTTCAGTTGAAGGACCATCAGCATCATGTTGAAATGATGACCGACCATTTATTTATTTAGTTAAATCACTGTTCTAGTATTGTTTACTATGCTTCTGCTAGGAAAAAAGATTTTCTGCTACTTTGTTGATTGCTGCTCACAGTGTAGGTGTGGTTTCAGATTGAGTCGCTGAGTAGTTACAGTTGATGTTCAGTGCTTCTTAGTTTGAGAACCTATCTGAAGAGATGAAGAATCTGAGAATGTTCTCCCATGAGAAGTGAAAGCTTTGAAGGACTTATATCAAAGGAAATGCAGTTTTAAAGGTCATTTAGAAACTAGATGCATTATTATTCCTAAAATTTCAGAAGGATCAAAGTGAGCTGGTTGTCTGCATCATAGCAGAGTCATTTCTGAATATCTCAACAGTTAGTTCCTGAAATTTGTCTTTCTGTCTCGTATTAATGGTTGATTCAGAACACTGCTTAGAACTCATGCAGTGTAGTATATATCCCAAAGCAGTTTTTCATACTGGATGTTATTCTCTGGAAAGAAGGAAGACTGCTTAGTACTTGTTTCTCTTAAATAATTATGCATTTTTAAAATGAAATATGTCTTTTGGCAGACATAACTAGAACTGAGTTGCTTGAGTTCAGCTTCACACCTGAAGTAGTTATGTCAGAGATTATTTTTTCCCACTGCTTGTATACTGCATTTCTGTGGAAATCTCTTACCACCAAAATGTAAGGGATTGTTTTTTTCTTTTCTTTTTTTTTTTTTTTTTTGAGAAATGGTGAAAGTGAATAGTAAATCCTATCTGTAATTCTGATTTTTGTTTCATCTAGCTAATTTTGTTTTTTTGCTATGTGAAACCGGCTTTTTCTCATACCTCCTAAGCTGCTCTTTTTTTTTTTTTTTCTCCCCATTAAATGGCATTTAACTTTTAGAGTATGGGAAGCAAATCTGTAAAAACCAGGGAAGAATGTCTGCAACGTATGCACTTCAATTTGATAATTCTTTATTGATTTTGACCAGGATGATTAAAAACTTCCCATAAATGACAGATCCTTTCCTCATGAAATCTTTGAAAGTGCGGGTGTTTTAGAGCATCACTTAGTGATGCATCTTCAAAGACTCAAACTATAGAATCCCTTGTGATGCAGTCTCTTCACCCTATCTGTGGGTGTTCAGGGAGCCCATGCTGTGACTTCTAGCAGCCACAGGTGTGCCTGTGATTTCTGTCAGAGAAATGTAATGGTATATCTTTATCAAGATGTACTCTTCTAATGTTCTGTATAGCTGTGCTTTCCATCCTTTTATTTTTAATCTTGTATTGTATGCAGCTTTTTATCCATCTTCTGATTTCTGGAAAAGGCTTAGGTTCCAGTTCATCAGAGCATGTGAAGTTAATATGTAACTGTGCATGCGTTGCCAACAGTGATGAATGTAGCCACAACAGTGTATAGACCATACTGTATGTATGCCCTATGGCTCTGTGAATTGATTCTGATTCAGAGCAGGACATTGCTCAGTTATAACCATCTGTAATTCATCCCCCTCATTTTATTATTTTCACTTCAGCAAGTTGGTGTAACTGTGTATAGTCTCTACATGGAACTTCCACAGCTTCTCAATAAGCATATAATGTAAATTAATCATATAATAGATTTTCTTCTGCCAGAGGACTTCAGGGGGTTTTAGTAAATGTTCTGTATGTATTTTTAAAATAAATTAGAGGAAAAAATATTACACAATCTTTCAACTACTTGTGTGAGAAATTAATTTGCAATTTCAATTCTGTGTAGCCTATTACAGGACTTTTTGTCTATCTAGTAGGAAGAACATTAAGGATTTAATTTCAGACATTAGTTCCTGGCGCATTAATCAGTTCATTTTTATTGTTGTTGTTGTTCTTTGTTTGTTTACCCATTAAGTTTGTTTTTTTGTTACTTGAATTGCAGTTATTAGTTGAAGTAGTTTAGATGAAATTGGAAAGTTTGCTTAATTATTTAAACTGTTAAAATTTAAATTTGATAAGAAAGAAGGGAAAAAGCCCTTATTTTTAGCTTTGTAATGGTAAAGCATGATTATGGCTTTCTTTACTTAATGTTTTCTTTAACGTGTAATATGCACGTAGGGTTCCTGTGTGTCTCCTTCCTCTCTCCGAATGGAGCTTCAGATTTAGAGTAGGCTGTTATATGAGGTGCCATAGTCAGATTTCTGAAATCTGATTAGTGAAATTATTTGTAATGTAATTTTAAAGCAGGATTATTGTTATGCCGTTTGAGGTGATTGTATGGAAACAAAAATGTCCTGTATAAAGAAGAGTGACAAACTGCAAGTACACTTTGTAGTATGGAGGAGAAAGGGAGAAAGGGGGGGGGGGGGGAATAGATTTTTATTGAGTTCCCTAATGCTGATTTTGTTGTGAAAATGTAATAGAATCTAGGTGCGCTATCTTTAAAAGTAATGAAAAAATCTTGACATTGAAATAGAGGTCTTCTATTAGATTGACTTCATAATCATTTTTAAAATATCTTTTCTTCTTACACAAAGTTGCATGAATTTCTGGTGAGCCTTCCAAAGATCACTCAGACTTTTTTCTTTTCTTTTTTTATAGTTGCATTAAAATCTTCAAACTCTACAATACTAGAAAGAAATGGCATTCAGGAAAACAGAACAGGAAAACTTGGAGAGGGGATGCAGATCCTGGAAGGAGAGCTCTTACTGCAGGTATGTTTTGTGGTGGATCTGCCTGTAGGCCGTTGACAGGATCTATTATGCGTCCATTTAAATTAAAATAATAATGTTAGACTATCATACTATTTATTCACTAGTGAAATAGAAAAAGGATGTTTTCCTGTTGTCAGATTGCCTCATTTTCTTTAATTTAAAATTATGGTTGTTGGTTTGTTGGGGTAGTGTCCATGGTAGTTCCATCACTTCTGTGATGGAAGTGCTGTAACAAAAGGCTTTCCAATGTGAAAACAAAATAGATATTTATATTTATTACTATAAATTCTAATCCCTTGGGAGTAAATAAATTAACTGAACTTCTTAACTGAATTTCTTGATTTGTTAAATATTTTACACTTCAAAAAGTCATTCATGAGAATGAAGAAGCAGGTAGACTTTTCTTAGAGAATGTAAGAAGCTAAGTGATGAAGATGGGAATTACGTAGAAGATATGGAGTATCCATAAGATGTAAATAATAGTAACTGTCTTGTCTTTTGCCTAAGTTCAGGAGCTTTTTCATCACTTTTATTTCCATATGCTGCTGCTGATGAATGTTTCCTTTTTATTCTCTATTCTTTGCATAGGTGGTATGAATATATACTACCTTGTTCATTGCTCATTGCCTTTTTATCTCATTTATACCAAACAGAAAATTGAGATATCTTTACTTTCCAATATGAAACTCATTTTCTTACCAATTCAACATATGGTAGAAGCAGAGATCAAATGCATTAGTGTTCCCTCCTTAAAATTAAGTCATATATCCCTTAAAATTACTTTAAATTATATCAAAATGTTAATTTAGGTGCATAGTCTTGTAGTGTTATAATATAATACACGAGTGGAATTTTCAGCCGCTAAGAATTTTTTAAAGCACTTTAATGAACAATTTTGCAGTTGCCTTGGTACTTAGGAGTAATGAGAGTATTTTTGTATAAGCAGAAATATAGTCTCCAATGCTCTGAAATAATAAAATCAATGAGAAATTTCATTAAACTCCAGGGATAATTACTTTAGGAATAGATTTTGCTAAAAGCTCCATAAAAATCAGTACTGGGTTTATTGACATACGGTGGATACCTGCATATTTTAAGAAACTTCTAGCAATGCTTTGTCATAGATATCTGGAGGAAAAAAAAAAAAAAAAAGCCTATTGTTTACAGGCTTACCTAAGGTATCTGATTTCTGCAGTAACAGCCTCAAAATTAAATGTCTGACAGAGCCATATAAAATGTGATTGAATTCCAGGTAAAGGAACCATTTTTCACTGATCGGATGAAGAAGAATCTTTCTTTGGCTTTGAATGAAACAGAGCAGAATAAGTAATTTTAACATGTGGCACAGGATTAGACACTGTACAGTTCACAGAAGTTTTATATCAATCACTTGAGGTGAAATCCACTGCAAAGTAGGTCAGTGGAGGACACAAGCACCTGCCGTTGCAGTTTTCCTACTCCTTTGGGATTGGTATGAACTTTATCGAACTCAAGGATTTTATGTAACTGTTCTGAGACACTTTGAACCTCAGGATGTCTTGGATTGGCTTCACTGTTTCAGACTTTTTTATAAGTTAATACTGGTTTGAGATAGAATTCGCTAAACTGAAATAAGGAGGTTTTAAAAAGCTTGTGATGATGAGTGAGGATAAGTTAAGAAGTGTCTACAAATTAAATTGGAGCTCTTCTCAGAAATTTTATTCATTGCATCACGTGTACTTACTTTACACAGAAGTCACCAGTCATTTAATCAGATAGTTAACTTGTCTTAATTAGATGAGTAGAACAAGAAATAGTAAAACCATATCCCTGCACAATACAGAAAAGCAGCTGTGGTGGTTACCATATTATGGTGCCACATGGGTTAATGATTGTGAATAAATAATGCTGTTTCATAAGAAAAATATACTACTATGTTGTTACAGTAATAAGTAGAATATCTTTCACTTACTTTACATTTGCTAATAGTTACGATAATTTTGCATAATGAAGAGTTTTTAAAATATTTTTTTGGTATGCTGGCCAAATTCAACTTTGAATGCAGCTGAGGAAATTAAGTGGCACAACATACTTAATTCAGTCTCTCGAGACGGCCTTTTGTTAAATCTTGACTGAAATCCATAGAAGTAAATCAGCACCTTTCAGATGAGCTGCCAAGTCACAAATGTTCTGTTTGCTATCACAACAATTGCCATGAACCATATTGATTTGGAGTTCAGATAAATGTCCTTTGCGTGACTTTGAACAAGGAGCCACTCAGTCTGCTTCTACATGGAGGGGGAAATCTCTTCGAAAACATTGTTTGCTTGCAACAGTCAGCTTGTGCAGAGGTCTTCTATTTTAAGTAAGCTATAAAATGTTTGTTGGGCTATACAGGGACTCTTGATCATTTGATTTCCTGTCCACTTAGGCCTGTCTGTGCTATGAATAGAAGAGATTTTGGGAATCAGTTTGTGATGTTTCTCCCTTTTGTACTGCAGGCTTTTGCGTGTCCCGAAGGCTTGAACTGTGCAAGCATTGTAAACTGGGGTTGTTACTAGATAAGCCTATAGCTCTTCATGCTGCTGCCCCTCAGCTCCGACAATCAGGAGTAAACAAGTCATCAACAAGTTTTTGCTTCTCCCTTGACTCATTTCCTGGAATTTTCCAGAACATTTTTCTTCCTTAGATGCGGTTTTCTTTATTGCATCATGTGTACTTTAGAGAGAGGTGGTGATGAATCCTTGTGTTTATGCCGTAAGATAATGGTATGTTCTTGCATTCTTCACAATTTATTGTGACACTAGAGTATAGGTAAAATTAGAGCCACAGTTATTATCTGGAAAGTTGTCTGAAAGCTGACATTGATGTATTTCTTTCCCAGGCATTAAATGGATTTGTATTAGTTGTGACGGCAGACGCTCTGGTTTTTTACGTCTCATCTACTATCCAAGACTACCTGGGTTTCCAACAAGTAAGATTTTGTTGGCTTTTTTTTTGTTTGTTTCAGAAATTTTTGTTAGTTTCTGAGTGCACCATGTTTAGGGTCTGATTGTGTGATAAAATTCACAGTCAGATATTCTGAGTTGGATTACTTTGAAATTGTGTTACTTTTCTATCAGCTCATGTAGCCAAAATGGAATCTCAAGCCAAGCACAACAGGAATACCATTTCCAAAGCTGAGTTAGGCAAGATAGGAAATTTTCACACTTAATTAGTCTTTACTGGAACAACTGTTTGAAATTTATACTGTGGTGTTACCCAGTTTATGATGCTGAATGAGACATAATTCAGTGGGAAGGTAATTATTTTAATGGAAACCTTTCATATAAAGATTAAGTCCATATGCTCTGAGGCTTTCTTAAGTATCTATTCAACGATTTTAGTAATTTTAGGTTTTTTAGTTCACTGTTTCTCTCCATTCCTTCCCACTCATTTATTAATTTAAAACAAGCATTTGTTAATTATAATTTATCATGAAGATCATGTATGGCCTTGCAAAACATGTACCAAAATAGTAAAGGCCAAGATCCAAAGATCACATGTTCTGTACGTAATGCATCTCCTGGGATTAGTTTATGTTAAGCTGTGCTGGTTCTTATCTCCCCGTGGGAGTTAGGTGGATCAATGAACAGATTGATCCAAAGATGGTCCAGTGATGCTGGCTTTGGCAATTCTGCCCCTTTCTTCTTCCTGCATACAGAATTCCTGTTAGCCAGTAGCCCTTTTCTGGATGATGTCGGAGACTCCACTGGAATTACTGAGTATTGCATAGATGACAACAATTAAATCTAGCTTAATAATAAATACAGTGGTACATAAACTGAATAATTTTCTGCTGTGACATCAGTTTTTTGTTTTTTTTTTAAATATGCTGAATTACAAATGACTGTCTTGTTCAGCCACGAGCTACATCTCTGCAAAACACACTTGTGTTTACTGTGCTTCTGTGGTGAAATATGTCCACATAGTTATCAGGTTATATTTATTTTCACATCTGTTGAGTACTGGACAATGATAAATTCAATTGATGCCTAAAAATAGAGAAAAACTCTACTTGGTCTACAAATTTAGCTAACTGATAAGCGTTTGTGGAATGTTTGTGTAAAAGAAAACATTCCAAGCAAAACATTATTATTACTTAAGTTACAAATTGTTTCAGTGTTGGAAAATGAAGAAAAATGCTTGGAAAAAAAAGATTGTGTATAAAGTTTGTATAGTAGTGCCAATAAGTCATATACATGATTTAGAAGTCTTGAAGGTTTAAAAATTTGCATTTCTGGCAATCTTTTCTGGAAAATATTGATTCTTCTTTGAAATTTATCAGGGCAAAATTTGAGTTCTACTTTTGCCAACTCATCTTAATTTTCTTAGATCTGTGTTTTATTTTAAAATATTTTGTGTTTATAAAATGGCTGGATTTTTGATTTATGTAGAAAACAAGCAGTTTAATTCCTCTCAGTTGACTTAGATTTCTATTGGATACTGTAGGTGGAATTTTTCTCATTATAGTTGTCTTTTCTCCTTTAATTGCTTTTGACAATTGATCCTTGATGTTGTAACTTTTGTCATTTAGGTCGTACTCCTAACCACACAAATGGTGGTGATACAGGATCTTAACAATTACTGATTTTAATGCGTTCTTAAGGACTGATAAGACTTTGAACTAGTGTTCAAAATCTGCTTGGCTTAGTTTTGGAAGTTCTATGGTCTTCAGTGTCTTTTGTATTCCTGGAGCACCTAGAATGGGCCAGGTCAAAGAACCAGCTGACAAGTATTTTATTTAGCGATATGTTGGAGGAAATGATTTAAACAAAACGTAAGCGTAACAGTTCTAGGCTTCTAGGTAAAAACAGGTTTAAAAAAAAAAAAAAAAGAAAAAGAAACTGTTGGTGTTGGGTTTTTTGTTGTTGTTGTCGTAAAGTAATACTTTTACTATTACTTTACATATTTGCAGTCATGGGCATGGCTGATTACTTCTCTATGCTGCCAAAAAGTGTTTCATGAAGTTTTCCTATTTGCATGCAAATGTATGTTTTTATTCCTGAGCAAAGATTATTCCATTGTGCCAGTAGCAATGTTGACAACCAGACAACTTCCATTGTCAGTGAAGTTTTATATTCTTTATTTCCTTCCTTCTTCCTTTTTGTATGTAGTCTGATATTATACACCAGAGTGTATTTGAATTGATTCACACTGAAGACAGACCTGAGTTTCAACGTCAGCTACACTGGGCACTAAATCCTGCCCAGTCTTCAGATTCTGGACCAAGTGTGCAAGGTGAGAACATAACTAACTTTCATGTTTACTTCTCAGATTAATTTTCTAAAAGATCCTTTTCTATGAGCAAAGGAAGGAATAGTGACTTTTAAATTTACTTGAATTTTATGGATAATTCAGCCAACAATATAAAAGTGCTCTTTTTGCATTTTAAATAAGCACTGCTATTTATAGCACAGCATCACAAGCATACTAATTTTGCTCTATAGTGAAATACTTTAATTTGGAGCAAGAATTACTGAATATCTTGTTTGATTTACTTGCCATGGAAAATAGCAAAGCAGTTGATTGTACAAGTTTGTGTTGCAAACAGCAAGAATAGGGCAATTTCTCTTGGTGGTATAATAAATGTAGAAAGTTGTGGGGGTTTTTCTTCTTTGTTCATGCTCAGTTATACCTTATACTTAATCACTGTATGAATGGGAATTTCTCTGCAGTAAAGTTCTCCCTTTCACATCTACTATTCCTGATAACAGATTACGACACCAAATTTATTAGCTTAAGATGGCCAGCAGACAATAGGTCTGCTGAAGTGCTTCTTAAAGCACTTCAGGCTGGTAGATATATTCCATGACTAATACTAGTTAAAGTGTTACGGTGTTATGGAGTAGTGCTTTCCTGGTTGTGGAAAAGTTTTGCTTGTCCATGTCTGTTACTATGCTACATGTGCTACCATGTAAATCACTGCTTCTCTTGGGAAAGAAAGATGATATAAATGTGCCTTTACAACCAAGAATTATGCATATTAGTTTTAGATTGCCATATGTTATCATGTCTGATCCTTATGTGACCTGCAATATTGGGAAACCTTTGAGGAAAAAAATATGTTGCATGCAGATTAAAGCAGAGATGTTTTTACGGGTATCTACGTGCCATGTGATAAGTGTTATTCTGCTTGACAATGATGACAAAACTGTTGGGACCATTGTAATACTTCATTTTGCACAACAGTTGTTTAAATATATATGTTACTATTTGATCATAGGTTTTTTTAATCCAGAAAAAAGTAGTTGTTTTAATAAATTAACCATTCTTAATGCAATTTGAAACCCTTAACAATTACACATTTACTGTTTTATAGTTGAGAAAGGCCATGATTTGACAGAGAAATCTTAAAAACAAAACAAAAAAAAAAAAACCAGATGATGCTATCTGTTTGGCACAGAGCTAAGCATATTTCAGTTCCTCATTTAGTGGACAACACTTACATTATCAGTGGATCGATCTACACAAAATCCAATGGAAAACATTCTACACAATTAATTAATATTGCAATTTAGTGTAGGAAACAGCTGCTGCCACTCAGAAGTTATGTCTTTGTGTGATGGATTTCTATTTACCTCAGTATGAAAAGGTGGTGTTTGAATACTGTGATACCAGCCTGACTTAGCATCAGATTTTACTGAGCAATGGAAGTATTGCAAATGCTGAGCAGGATTACAAACAAAAGTATGTTTTGTACCTTGTGTTACTAGCTTACTAAAAGCTGCTGAATTATTTTCATGCCTCAAATAGTGGAAAGTGTTTGGATGTTGAGGATTTTTAAACTGAATGTAGATTCATAACAAAGGATAAATGCTATGATCATAAGGAACCACCCATTTTTGTTAATTTTAATCTGCTTCCTTTTAAATGCATCCAGCAAACATTATGTAGATATTTATAGATATGTTATAATTGGGCTCAGGCTTAATCACGGATTCCAGTCTCAGTCTGGGAACTAATTATGCTCCAGTTAGCTTAGCCTGGTTGCTTCTCAGTGCTCTGGTATGCTGCTAGACCACGGGTTTCCTCAGCTGTTCCTGGGCCTCCAAGACATGCTTCCCAGCCCTGACTCAGAGAAGTTTGCAAGATTCTAGTTTTTCAGTCCCAAATATCTGCTTCAGGGCATTAACTTTCTCAAATGGACTGTAGTATTTCTGCCTCACTAGCTGACACCTTCCTCAGTTGTAGCTGATCCTGGCAATAGCAAAGGGACACAAATATTAGGAATACTTAGAAGAAAATATGTATTAAGGGCTTACTTCATGCTGATACTTGTGAAATATCAGTACTGATAAATGCAGTGCATTAACTATTTAGAGAAAACCTTAACTAATGTGTTTGCAGAGATTTTCAGGGCTGTCAGAGTTGGTATTCTTGAAAAGTGAGCTGAAATTTACAAACTGTTTCTTGCCCTTTTCTTCACTATCCTTGCTTGCTTCTTTGGAAAGCATCTGATTCATTTCAGCACCTCTTGGAGAAACAATGCCTCAGATACAAAAGTGTTGAAAATTCTCACCTGCAATTAAGCAATTCAAAAAGAAAAAATGAAACAAAAAAATCTGCAGCAGTAGGATGTAAGGAAGTAAGTTTGCTTTTACCTGCTGAGAGCTGTCCATGTGACAGAGGAATTTGGGTTTGTTTTTTTCTAATATCAAAGTCAGGTGGCTACTATCTTGAATCTGAATGTCCCTATCTGTAGGATCAGCTCAGCTCATAATAATGACCTTGGCTAACATACAGTTCTGCTTATGGCTGTGATTCCACGGTTTCCCCTCTCCTTTGCTTTATCAACTAAGGCTCTTTTTTTTTTTCCTCCTTGACTTGAGGTCTGTTCATCAAAAATTGAGCTTGCACAGTTGTTCTTTTAAGAAGAAAATGGAGTCTCCTAATGCTGTTGTCTAGTGAGCTGGGTGACTCAGCGTTCCTGTTAGATTTATACTGCCTTTAGTTTGCAAGGCCTCTTGCTTGAGCACATCAACGATGTCATATGTCTCCAATTCAGTCCCTTGAGTTAACAAGAGATTAAACTGAACGGGCAGTTGGTCGTGATGGATCTGTCATTGTACCAAACACGTAGCCTGTCTGTAAGCTTTTCCAGCTGTCGAAAAGACGGAATTGTGTTTCAGAGAACATAGTGTGGTGGGTGAGCAAGTGGCATACAATCTCTGAATCTGTCTCAAAGTCTAGAAGGTCAATTCAGGATCTTTCTGCAGTAGTGGTGTTTGTACGTGCATGGTAAACTGTTCCCTCAGAGTATATGGACTAATTTAAAAATTATGGAGATACAGCACTCTTAAAGCAATGCTTTACACTGTTTTTTTTTCATAATTTGTGTATGTTTATGAATTACTCAGGAATGAGCTTTCTTAGGCTTTTTTTTTTTAATTTTAATGTGTATTGTAAACAAGATTGCTTTGCTAAATTTGCTTTGAGTAGACTTTCTCTGATGTCTCTATGTGGCCTCATACAGAACATATGTATTCTATCAGCAGTTTATTGATCTGCCTTCTGTTTTTACTTTATATTCCAAATGTTTAAGTCTGTTTCCTAAATGCCACTTGGCAGCACATGCTTATCCTAAAGTGGCAGAAGACTAATCAGGTTGTTAATCCTAGTGGTTAGTCATGTGATTGTCATTTGTTTTATTATTATTTTTTTTATTATTATTCATTTTAAGCAGGAGAATTCCAGATTCTGGAGCTTTGGAGGAGTAACTATGACATTTTGTTGATCAGCACTGTCCTGAAGAAATATTTTCACTGTTTAGTCATGAAATACTACTAATTTTTATTTTATTTTATTTTATTTTTTTATTTTTTGGCATCTAATACAAAAGGTGCTCAGATTGATTTATTATAGAGATCCTCTAAAGTTGCCTCTTCATTTATTGCTCCCAACAGCTTTCAGCTGAGTGTCTGGAGAGCAATAGCTTCACAGCTTGATACCATTTACTGAGCATTTGAATAATCAGTTCTTAGGAGTTACTGTTACTGAATGTCTACTTCACAGTGGAAGATCTGTCATTATAGCAATGGGTCTATATTCTCTAGCAGATCTGCTCTCTGCAACTGATTCAGAATCAGTTAATTAATCAATTAAAATAATGTGGGTTTTTTGTTTGTTTGCTGGGTTTTTTTTGGTTGTTTTCAATTTTAAATTGTTTGCAGTTTTAAAATACTGTAGCCTTTAAACTGTAATCCAGTTAGAAGAAGTGATACTTAACCTAGTGCTGTAATTGATATAAGTTCTGAGGATGTTTCCAGTTTACATTGTTCTTGAGGTTATGACCTAAGGCTTTGTTTATGAGGCGGAAGATGATTTGTTATAGATAGCCTTCACTAGGTGTTCTTCTAAAAATAATCATTATAAATAATCCTTTCCTGTAGGAGATAATGGCTTTTCACAGCCAGCAAACTATTATAACCCAGACCAACTTCCTCCAGAGAATTCTTCCTTTATGGAAAGGAATTTCATCTGCAGATTACGATGTCTCCTGGATAACTCATCTGGGTTTCTGGTGAGTTTGGAGTTATGTAAAAACTTCCACGCGTGCTTGAATCTACACTGTGCCTACAATATGTGCTGCATTTCATTACAGTTACTGTTGATATGTGAGGGTTTGACCCAGTATATTTCAGTTAGTGACACTAAATGACAAAGACTGTATTTCTAGGTTCCCATTTAGCATGTTGCAACTAGGGGCAAATTCTCTCATTTTTTATGGCTTAGTTTTCTATGTCAAGTGTGAGTAATTTTTTGTGGGGCACTACATGGTTTGTGAATTACAAACCACCGCAAAGATTATTTCAGTTGAGTATCTTGAAATGAAAGAAATTATAGAGTTACAGTAATCAACAGAACTATGGCTTTCCTTTACTGCACTTGCTCTTTTTTCTGTATACTCTTTGTTTTCAATACCGTGGATTTTGAATGAAATATGTGAGTTTGTCATCTAAGTGACTTTGTACAAATAGAATTGCTTATGTAAGATTTTTGCAATTGTAAATAATTGCATATAATGTGCTAATGACTGAAATAAATGAAAAGTTATATTAATTGCAAATTTGTATAATACTGTGTTCATTAGAAATTTTAAAATCTCAAAGGACATTTGCTTTTCTATGTATTTATTTCACAGAACATCCCACTAGTTCTTTTTTTTAGTAAGTATATTAATTCATATATCTTTAAGTTGTATGTTAAGAGGAATAACAATAGTAACAATAGTACTCAGAACTTACTATCTAACTTTTGTGTATGCCATGCTATAAAACTTGAATCTGATGGGTCTAAAGAAAACCTCAATTATATATTTTATTTAGCAACAGAAATATCCACATCTTAAATATCTCCAACCTGTAACAATTACTTTTTCATAATCCTAAGGCTATGAATTTTCAAGGACGATTAAAGTTTCTCCACGGACAAAACAAGAAAGGGAAGGATGGTACTGCATTGTCTCCTCAGCTGGCTCTGTTTGCAGTAGCTACTCCCCTGCAACCACCTTCCATCCTTGAGATACGAACCAAAAACTTCATCTTCAGAACAAAACACAAACTGGATTTCACACCTATTGGCTGTGATGCAAAGTAAGTAAATTATTCTGCATAGCGTTCCCCTATTTGCTGATGAGTTTCAAGTATGGCTTTAAAATGTAAAGCTAGTTAGTATTTCAGTCAATACTGAGTTAGAATTTGTTATTGTTTTTCTTTACAGCCATGATAGTACATAGAGAAATGAAGTTTACTTGGTGTGCTTTCTGGAAAGACATGTTGGTTTTTTACTCTCAATCTTTTAAAAAAGTTAAAAAAAAAAAAAAAAAAAAGACAAACACCAGTCTCATTTAATCTGCAATAACACATAATATACTAATAAATTGGAGAAGAAGAAGAATTTCGTTTCAGCTGGTTGAAGCCTGGTTTTAGAAATGATAGGATAAGTGTTTCTTTTTGGCTCTTTGTATGTTGTTCTGTTCAGATAGATGTGAAATGCAGTTGAAATGTTATTCACTACAAATTAAGTCAATTTTTTATACTGTGACTTTAACCTGGTTCCAAACACTTCTTTTTTTCCTTTTTGAAAACTGGGAAAGCTTTTGCATTGGTAGATCAACACAAGGTAACTACGTATCATCATAGCACAAAGCCCACTGAGGTGATTTCTTATATAAAAGAAAAATGTTTCCTTCTTCCCTTCCTCCTATTTTTGACTGATAATGCTGAGTTTTCAGAGTCATTTCTGGTGGAATATTTCCTATGTTCATACTTAGGGAATAACTTAGAGTTGAATTATTCAATATTATTTGTACTGATAAACCAAAATACTTTTCTTGAGTTCTCTGAGGTGCTACAAGTGAGAGTTGATAACAAAGTGTTAATTCAAGCTTTTAATTTTCTCTCTTTTTATTTTCATTATACATTGCTGGAAGCCTTCAATTTTTGTCATGTTTTACAGTTCAGTTATTGTTCCTGTTTCCTATTTTTTTTTCCATTCTTTTCTACCTTTGAATCACCACACATCCCATTTCCTACTCTTTATTACTTCATTTTTTCTAGATCTTTCTATGCATCTCATTGCACTCTCATAACTTCTTTAAAGTTCTCCATCTCCCTGATGTGCAGTAAAGTATTGTGTTTTTTTCATGGTTAATCCTGACAGCTATTGCCTGTACTTCTGTGATGTAGCTCTTGGAAAGCTTAAATACAAGCCCAAGGCCTTGAACCATTCAGTAACAAAAGGGTGTAGTTCAGAGATGCACTTTATTTTTTAATAATTTTGAAAAATTGCAAATAATAAACTCTACAGCTTTGCATAATTAAAGTTAGGCCCCTACTTAATACTACATGCAAGAAGTAAAAATAGGTAAATGCAATGAGATGAGGCCTAGTAGAAAGTGTATTTCATTGAAACAAATGGGAGCTGGCTGTTGTAAAAGTATATGGTGAGTGGTATAGTCATTTGTTCAAAGTTTGGAATTTAGGAGTGTAGCTGAACTGTAATATGCATCTTTATTTAATGATCTAACAATTTTGAAAACCTGTTTCTAGTCACTGAAGCCAACTGGTAAAAATTTTATGATTTGTTAACTGCATTTTTTATTAGAACACTCATGTTTCTGCATACAACTGATATTGCAGCAAAATGTAGGTAACATTTACGTCTAAAATGTTCTAGCCATAATTATCTTGCCTGGCATTTGTTCAGTGAGATGGTTCATCAGCAATGTTGCAATCTTTTGCTCTTACCTTCCAGAGGAAAGATTGTCTTGGGATACACTGAAGCAGAGCTGTGTATGAGAGGAACAGGATACCAGTTCATTCATGCAGCTGATATGCTTTATTGTGCTGAAAATCATGTCCGAAGTAAGCTCCATTCTTCAAGAAAGGCTATGAAAAATCAAGTCATGTATTCACAGTAAAAACATTGAAGTACTCTTAAATTTCTCTCATCATTAACAAAAAATATACCGTTCATGATCTTTTGCTCTTTGTAAGAATTTATACTCAATGAAAATATATATTTAATATCCCTATCTAGAGTCTTCTTGGTTCTAAATTTCAGTTTCTGTCACATCTTGCTCTTTTCCTTCTCTGCTCAACCTGATTTCTGCTATTCAGCAAGTTTCTCTGGGCTTAGGGATTATTTCAAAGATTGCTTTTTTTATTAGGAAGTAATATGTTTTCTTTTGATAAATTTTTATGATGAATTTCAGAATTGGCATGCTAGTGTCTTATAAATTTCTGTTATTGAGTCTGGTGACTTGATTTGTTTTAGATAACAGTGTGCAAGAGTACTATGTTTGATAAATAACTATTTGGTGGACTTCTTTATTTTGTTGTTAGTTGTAATATATTTGTCTTTGAAAGGTGTAAAAATGTCTTCATGAGATTTTGTTGCTTTTTTTCCTAGAAAGCTGTTTTGTTTCTTTAGTCTCCTTGTATTCAGGATGTCATTGCCTGTATATTATGGATATCTTGCAATTACTTGTAATTTTGGCTTTCATTGCTTTTATTTTACCGATAATTTAAAATAGACACTTTAAAAAGTGATTGATTGTCCTGTTGCACTAGGAATACATTATTAGTGCTTTACAGAAATGGGTGATTGAGGATGTGAGACTACATTGCTTTGCAGAATGGGATTACTTTTGTGACAAACCAGATTTTCCTATTTTACTTCACTTGACAGTAAATAGTATGTTTACTCTTTAACTCTAGTGATGAAGACAGGTGAGAGTGGAATGACTGTCTTCAGGCTTCTAACCAAAGAAAATCGGTGGGCCTGGGTACAGGCAAATGCACGCCTTGTCTATAAAAATGGAAGACCAGATTACATCATTGCCACGCAAAGACCTCTTACGTGAGTCGTCATTGTATAAAGCAGTGTTCTTCAGAAACTGAACATTTTTTATTGATCTTGTTTACATTCAGAAAGTAGTTCTTCACTTTTAAATAAGTGTCCTTTAAATCTGGTACTCCAAGAAAAAAAGAAAAAATTCCTTATTTCCTAACAAACATTGGAAAGGATTTTGATATTTCAATAATTGTATGGCATAGTTCTTGTTTAGGTGTGAGATCTTTGACATTTTTATTTCATGTAAATAGTAAGAGTAGTGCAAGTACCAAGTTATTCCATCTAAAGTATACTTAATTCAGAATGCTTATTAGTAAGGATCAAAAATCCCAGCAGCAGTTATGTGGAGGAAACAGCAAAAAATATATGTTAAGGTCTTTTGGTGCTTAATTGAATTCAATATAATAAAGAATTTAGGATTATAGGTAAAATAATTTTTCTAGAGGAGTTTGTAAAATGATGAAAATTAATGCTTCACTGTTGAAGTATTCATTTACTTGCTATGTGAAGAAAAACACAACAAATGGTAAAAGGCCACTTTACATTCATTTCAGCTACTAATACACAGAAAATAGTGTATGCTATCTAGATTTAATTACAAATGTAATACATAAAGGTCGTATTACAGCCATAAGCTCCTTATTTCATAATCTCCCTCTTGGCTCATTGAGTCAAGTTGAGCTGGAATAGCTAGGAATTTGAAAAATGTCTTCCAATAGAATAATTTGTTTATTTTTTTTATATAAATTCCAAGGGACAAAAAGATTACTGTATAACTGTTGAGTGCTGCAGTATTATGCTATATACACGATTTATTTTCAGAGATGAAGAAGGAGCAGAACATCTACGGAAGCGTAACATGAAATTGCCCTTCATGTTTGCCACTGGTGAGGCTGTGTTATATGAGGTAACTTTCCCCATGTCCAGCTTATCAGATGCCTCTCAGCCAAGGAGTAAAACCACCACAGGAAAAGGAGGCAAAACTACATTACACGGGGATTCTGTGGATCCAAATTCCCTTCTAGGTGCCATGTTAAGACAAGATGAGTCTGTGTATCTCTGTCCTCCAGCATCACACAAACTTTCCTTTGAGCGGAACTTCTTTGCAGACAGCAGGGATGAACTGAGTGGTGTTGTTAGCAATGACTGGACAGATAGTCTCCTACCTGCTGGAAGTCACAATGTTCTCAAGCAGGAACTAATGGAGTGTTCCCAGGACAGCAGTGTGCCACTTCCTGAAGACAGTGCAGCGCTCTTTCAAGATAACAAAACAAATGATTTGTACAGCATCATGAAAAATCTGGGTATTGACTTTGAAGATCTAAAGTGTATTCAGCAGGATGAGGAGTTTTTTAAAACTGAACTATCTGGTATGGATGATATTGGGGACATCGACATAACTGATGAAATCCTGACTTATGTGCAGGATTCCTTAAATAAGTCTGACTTCTTATACTTGGGCTGTAACCAGCAGCAGCAGCCCCTGGTCCAGAATGCCGGTTGCTTGGTACAGCAAGAATTAGATCAGCATCAAATTCATCAGCATCAGAAACAGCTCATGGAGCAGCAGCAACAACAGCAACAGCATCAGCTCTGTCAGAAAATGAAACACATGCAAGTCAATGGGATGCTCACAAATTGGAGCTCTGGCACCAGCATGCCTCTTTGCTCACAGCAGCAGCCCCAGCAATACACATTCCCTGGCATGCAAGCCACGGCTGCTGAGTTTTCTTACAAATCAGAAGTAAACACTTCACCTTATGCATGCAGGCAAGAATTTGTTCCGTACAAGCAACCCACAGCAATGATGCCACAGCTTTCTAACTTTTCCCAAATGGAATTCCCTATAGCAGGACTTGACAGATCAGCCTATTCTGCTTCTTCCAACTTGGAGGATTTTCTTGGTTGTTTGCAGCAGGTCCCTGAAAATCTTGACTGTGGGATAAACTCTGAGTCGGTTATGCTAACCCCCCAAACATGTTATGCAGGTGCTGTTTCTATGTACCAGTGCACACAAGAAGCACAGCCAAACTGCATGGATCAAATGCAATATGATCCCATGATGGCAAATCAGCAAACATTGTTAAACAAGGTATGGTAAACAGCATTGTCACATTGCTTGTGTTTTGAATCACATTTTTAGTTGTTTTGGATGGCTGCTGGGTGCAGTTTGTCATAATTGAGTCGCTGAGTTTGAAGCTGGTGGGTTATCAGTGAGATCAGAATGTCCTTGCTTTTATTCTTTTCATGAGACTGAACTGAGTTGCATTCGATCAAGGCTTTGTATATTTGTATCTGCATCCTGGTAGCTCTTTTTGGCACTAGTGAGTTGGTATGTGGTACCTACCAGTAATTTTCCCAGTGGGAGCAAGGGAGAAGGGAGAAGCAGGTTGGTCAAAAGCTTGGAATTTGTGTATGTTTTTAGGGGAACAGGATGATGTGAGCAATACTGTCTGACAGGTTCGTCTTCATGAAATATGTTATAAGGGTCTGGAAAAGTATCTAGATATTGTTGTAGTCTGGATGTAAGGAAAAGTCAGCTTGTTCCTCAAGCTACTGTTTAAATCTGCTGAAGGCTAAAGGGGGGAAAATAATTACATTGACTTTTTTTTTTGCATTTTTACATTATTCTACAGAAAGTGGAAATAAAAGCAGAAGAAAAGAAGCCTTGCTCTAGCACAAAATACAATTTTAGGTGTAGTTTTTCATGGGTAAAATTAATTTTAAAATTAAAAGAAGAAGAAAGTCTAGTTGTTAAAGCAGTTCCTGATTTTTGCGTAGCCATTGCTGAGGTCTTTTAATTTATAGTCTTTATTTCTGTTAATGCTGCTTGAGTACAGAGGCACAGTTTTTTGGTTTTTTTTTACTCTAATGAGTTTATGTGGTAAAGTAGTGATCCTCCTGTAAATGCTTCTGCGTGTGTATTAGCATTCACCAAATTAAAATATTAATTGTCATTTAACCTACACAAGCCATCAGTAAGGAATGCAAGTAGAACATACCCAGTTTTTGGTATGCATAATACAACTACAAAACATACAGTTCTTAAAACTGTTTAATTTGTGGAAAAAATCTAATTACTGAATTACGTAAGTTTAACTAAAGCAGTTCAGAAAATGTCCAAGGGCTGAAATATCATGAGAGTTCTTTGACAAGCTGCAGGCACAGGCTTGCACAGTACTTGAGTGTTTGTTGTAGAGCTGTGGCCAGTGTTATTAATCCAAGATAGTGCTTGATAACAGGGATGCAAAGCATTTCCTTTTCATCCAAGTTCACCCCTGTAACAGGGCTAAAAAATTGTTTTTTTCCTAAAAGCTATGCTGATATAACTTTTGATGAGCCAGTACCTAAATAATTCCAAGTTTGACTAATGACTAAGACAGTAAATATGACTATGACAATAAAGATGTTAAATGAGTTCCTACTACTTTGTATTTACTGGAATAGTGTACTGCCATAATAACATTGCTTTTAACTTGGTTGTCATAAAAGCATGAACAAAGGCTCCTTTTGTGAAAATGTAGCCTTAGTCAGAGTGTTCAGAGGCAATTTCCACTCATTTTGCTATGATGTATGCATGCTTTATGGATCTGGATAGCATTGCATAAGCGGATGCCTAATGAAGAATTGATGCTACCCTTCTGCATGTCAGCTCCTGTTTACCTCTGAAGAGAACTGCTGAATGTTTGTCCATATAGCTTAAAAGAGTCACACACCTCTTGATGAGATGAAAAAGAATTATTCCCCTTACACTGTTTCCATAAGAGTGATTGTAGCTAGCTGACAGCTATCTCCAAGTCTTAGTAGGTCCACAACTTACGGGTGGAGAAACTGCCTGGCCTAAAACAAATAGCATGGTCTTCTGCAACCATACTGCTTCATACTGGTCAAATAAAACCAAACCAAACGAAAAA